TATCCATTAAGAATGATAGTAATGTATATGGGATATCCATATCTTTTAACCAGTTAATAGTTAATGTGGTAAACCCAAGGCCATAAACCATCCCCAGTTATCGGTGTATGAAATGAGGTATGCCCCGTTCTTTGGGATGATGACGACCCCCAGTCATGGGTGCTTACGGGGATGGCTTATGGCATTGGGTTTTCCAGAAATGGGGTATACCATGATATAACCCCAGTCTTGGCAAATGTTAAGAGGGAAAATGATGATCAACCAGCAACCACTGGAATTTAGGGTCGCCTATTGTCCCACAACGCCATACACTCATATGTACGTATGGATAAATATGGAGGTTTCCTAAAATAGGGAACCTCGGATTGTCCATTATAGGGAACCTCGGATTGTCCATTATAAACGATCCATTTTTGGGGTACCCCCATTTTAGGAAACCCCAAACCCCATAGGGTAAAATTATAGCTGTTATCCACTTGCCAGCTGGGATGCCCAAGCACTTGTCAACTCTCAGGAGTATTCCTGGGGCCAGCCGCCCTGCAGTATGTATGAGAAGATCATCAAGGAGAACAAGTTCTCCCGCATAATTTTCGTCAAAAAGGGGCTACCTGGCTGGTGATGTTTCTGTTTTTGATTGGTTGGGTACAATGGGATGGTTGGGATGCTGTTTTTGGCCAGAAGTTTGAGGGACGAATTGGCAATCAGTTGCTAAGGGATGCGCCCTGTGCAAAACGCTTGTTGGCAGTGGCAGAGGACGGCGGCGGCGGCAAGTTATGGGACGTTACGTTGTAGCTGGAAAGAATCAGAAAAACACGTGAACACATGGACTTAACGGATGGATTTAATGGGACGCAATAGAACAAAAAATTGGTTGGTTTGAATTGGGATTGATTCGTGTCGTTTGTTTTGAAATGTGCTAAATGCATGCCTGATCATTTTGAGGATCTGGCCGTTTTCTTGTCTCGGACGCAGATTACCCAAGTGAAGATCCACATTTCATCTTCAAAAGATGTCCCATGAACAAACGGATTTTTGACATCATTCTTGAAACCACCCCCAACTACAATAGCTGATTGGTAAAAACACCGGTTCCACCCCATTTGAAACCGGCCGAATGAAAAGGCCCGTTGAAGGACCTTGGGACAGTCCAAGAATCCCATATGCCTTACAGATCACACAACCAGGATACAAAGGGTCTCAAAAATCACCCCAAAATGTTCCGAGCATTTCATTATAGATAACTATCACTGTTTATAGTGGTTGTTTTTTTAATACTGTTGGTGGTCAATCATGACGATACAGGGATGTTGCTATGTTGGAGGAGGCTCAGATCTCGGTGACGTATCCCCCAGCCTTTGATGAGACGAATTTCAAGCCCTGGCACATGCGGATCTTCTATCGGGAGGACCGACCGGGCTGGGCACCCCAGGACAGCTGGGATTTGATGATTCACATGGTGATGTTGCAGGGATTATTTCATAGATGTAGCACCACGATGGTTGTTTTAAACGGGATACATAGCCAACAATGTGACAATATCATGCAACTGTGTTTGCCAACTGTATTGGGGAGTGACTCATCAGACATGGTTTGATTATCAGGATATTGCGAGTTCACCAGCATACTAATGAAAATCAATTAACATATTACATCATATTACCAAATTGACTAATGGGCAGTTTGGTACTATCTAATCTTTTGTTTTGAGAGGGATGTAGAAAGCCCACCAGAAAATTGTATTTGCACGGTGCCAAAGTTTGGTTAAAACCCACAGGTTTTGAAGTCGCTACAACCTTTGGCACCGTGCAAACCCAGTTCCCGAATTTGGCTGGTTTTTGAAAGTCGCTACCGGGTTTTGATGGGATTTGGGTGGGTGTTGAAGAGTCAGTCTAATCTTTTCTTATAAGGGGCCGGTGCTGTTGTACTGTTGTTGTGCGGTTTTTGGGGGTATCACCAGCATCTGCCGGGCACGTGGCTGAACGAAACGTGGCCACGTCAGACTCACAACTTGGCCACGGACTTCTGCACGCTCATGCGCGCGAGGCACACTGAAAGGACATGGATACTCTGGAATCGCCTTCTCTAGTGGGAACAAAAAACAGAGATAGATATAATATGATATATATATATATAATATAAACCCAATGATGTCTTGGGAGTTCGATTTCGAGACCCCACATGGTCATCATGAAATATCCACAATACTGTGGGTGATTCCTGTGGTTTGCTGTGATTGTCAGAACTGAAAACGCCACTGACCGTAGAAAAAGAGGCAAAAAAGGTGGGTCATGGGGGTTACTTGTTTGAAAGGAGTTGCAGCCCGATTCTGGCTAGGTAATGTTTTTATCACCAGCTCATCAGTTTGGATGAACATGAGGCCAGAACCACAGCCAGAGCTTCCATGTCTGATGGTATATCAAAATTATATATATATACACATGCATCTGCCTATGGACATCTGACACTTTAGAATTTATAACTGTTTGTAAATGCCCTATGGATGGCACGGGACATTGAATAATACTGGGTAACCCTTGGATGGGTAGTTGAGTACGCCAATCTTTTGAAGTGAATGGGCGGATCTTTGCCAAAAAATACATTCCTATCTTTTTGATGCCAATTATGCTACTAACTAGCTTTTTATAGATGCCGTTGTAGGAAATCCATGGCTCGGACCAGGCATTTGGTGCTGTCATATTCCACCTTCTCAGTGTCTGCTGCGCTGCTGAGTACATCCATCAAGACCATGTACCGAAGGCGCGCAAAAAAGTCGCAAAAGGGAACCACCACTCCCGGGGGGGTTCTGTAAGTCCATACCGGGTACCCTCCGGTTTTTTCAAACGTGGCTGGCTGGAAAATCCATTGTACAATGGAGGTTTTGATGGGAAAATCATTTGTGAATTGGCCATTTTCCATTGCCACGTTTGACTACCGCAGGGTAAGTCCTTTAATGCGGTAAACAGCCAAAAATATTAAATCAACTATATATCTCCTTTTTGCCGGAAATGGGTAGTATATACAAACCGTTGGAAATTGGAGGTATGTCAGTAGCTTTGCCACATCAATCTTGAAGATGGGATGTTCTAAAATGTTCTAAATACCAAAAGAATCCAAAGAGCAAAATGGGTGGATCTTAGGCAAATGTTGACCCAATGTGTTCCGATCCCCAGATCTCAATGGTCAGATGCCACAAGAATTTGAGCCGCACAAGTACCCAGCCATACCAAGGAAATGAAACTTAAACAATCCTTCGAATAACCGTCCAACCACAATAAGGGCTTGTTCAAGAATACTTGGGGCAACCCAACATCCAGTGTTTGAAGGTCTCAGTTCCTCGGTAAAAAGTACCATGAATATGGGTTAATATACCATGGCATACGCCCCGGGATCATGGCCGTTGAAAATACAGGATCCAGCGAAGGAGGAAAATAAACATAAAATGTGACTCGGACTGGGTTAAATTACCCAGTTGGAGGATTCGGGAGGCATTACATCAACAATGTTTGTTGAATTTGTTGAAATACTACTGTGGATCGAAGAAATCCTGCACCACCAAAAGGATGGTTGAAACCCATCCAAAGTAATGGGATGTTTATCACCTATCAACTGATGAAGAAGCTTCAAAATGAGAATCTCAGCCGCATTCCACAATCAATGAGCAATTGGCTTGACCCAGCTGGCTGGTGATTTCAAAGTTTGCCGCAAATATTCCCCTATCCCAAATTGGGATTTTAGCAGTGGAAGATTGGTAGATAATTAGAGTCATTCATTTGTTCATTCATTTGTTCATCATCTATTCATCTATTTTTGTAGATCTACTTATCTAATTTTATTTATCCATTATCATCTGCAGTATTATCATCGATTTTTCTATATCTTTAACCTCATCTTTCGTGGGCTTTGTGGTAGGCGTGAGGCCCTGTGGGAAAGCTACCTGAAGTCGCCGGGGATCAACTGCAACACCTGGCCCGGCGTGACGATGTATGACTACGGCATCCAAATGTGGGGGATCCATGATGGGATCCATGGAATAGCTGATGGGAGGATGGATTTTCCACGGTTTTTTTGTTGGTTTTTTTTTAAATGGGTGAAGATCAATGTCCACACGGTGCGGAAGATGTTGATTTTCGTGACCTAAATGGTCATTTCACAATGGGAGATCCTTTTTTTTTGAACAGGCAAAAGACCTGCGTCAGGACTGGCTTGGTTATATCATGCCTTGATGATCCATGAAGAAATCAGGTGATAGGCAGTTCGGGTTTGGTGTTTTTGAACCACGTCCTCAAAGTCGATGGTTGCGAATCAGATGAAAATCCGAACAATGCATATTGTTTTTGTGTTGTTTTGGTTGGATATGTCGGACTTTAAACTATTGGACATTTGATTGGATATATATATATATACATATATATATATATATACATATGTGTAGACATATATATATATACATAGTTACTTAGTCTATATGCTTTTTATATTAAATATATATATATGCTTTTGATAGAATAAAAGCCCAAATGCAACATGTTACCCGTGTTTTCCTGATATTTTTAACAGGTAGACTATTTGCCACACACCCTTGACAACACCTTATCTCCACAATTCCTAAGCAGCAGCCAACTTTGCTGGCACACTGCAACAACTCAACTCCGGATTGTTCTATCCACCCCAAGAGCTCATATACATACTCAATGTAAAGTGCATTCACTCATAATTGATTGGCTGGCTTGTATGCCACTTATTTAAGACTTATTTCAATCAAAACGCTACAAAAGATTGGCTGGCGTTGTTCATATAAAAACTTACAGCAAGTTGTATTCGATAAACATCTTATTTTTCAACCAATTCAAAAAACAAGGTGGGCCAGAGAACCCAAAAGCAAGACGGCACACAGCACGCCTTTTCTTGAAAATCTTGGGGTGTGGCCAGCTGTGCTCTGCACGAAATCGACGTAAGATCTTTACTTAAACATCGTGCGCACTGATGGTATCAGGGGCCACGATTCACCACAGCATGCTGTGTCAGCTACGCCTACAGTCTTCTAGTCGCTATTTCTGTTAATGTAATTAACTCTATCCCATCTGTCTAGTCGCTATCTATTTCTGCGTTCTCGTTTAGTTTGCTTCGCCGCAGAGGGAGCGAGCACGAAGCGTGGACGGACAGAACGAAATGAAAATTAAACGACAGAGGGAGCTGACCAAAAGAGCATGAAAACGAAGATATATATGAAGGTGACAGATGGCAAATGATCATGAAAAATGAGACATGATAAAAGATGGGTAAAGACTTCTCTGTACAAAAGCTTCTTTGCATAAAAGCTTCTGCAAGTAAAAGCTTCTGTGGGCAAGAACTTCTCTGTGTAAAGGTTTTTGGTGTAAAAGCTCTTGTGTGTAAAATCTTCTGTGTAAAACGCGCTCTGTGTCTAAAAGTTTCTGTTTGCGAAAGTTTCTTTGCGTACCAGCTTCTGTCTGTAAAAGCTCCTCTGTGTTAAGGCTTTGTTTGTGTAAAGCTTCTGTGTGCAAAAGCTTCTCTGTGTAAAAGACTTCTCTGTGTCAAAGCCTCTGAGTGTACAAGCTTCTCTGTGTAAAAGTTCCTCTGTGTAAAAGCTCCTCTGTGAAAAAGCCGCTCTGTGTAAAAGGCTTCTGTGTGTAAAAGCCTCTGTGTGTGCAAGCTTCTCTGTGTCAAGACTTCTTTGTGTAAAGATTTCTCTGTGTAAAAACTACTCTGTGTAAACGCTTCCGTGTAAACTCTTTCCTGTGTAAACGCCTCCGTGTGTAAAGACTTCTCTGTGTAAACCCGTCTGTGTGTAAAAGCTCCTTTGTTTAAAGGTTTTTTTGTGTTAAAAGCTTCTGTGTGTAAAACCTTCTGTGTGTAAAAGTTTCTGTGTGTAAAAGCTTCTGTGTGTAAAGGTTTCTGTGTGTAAAAGCTTCTGTGTATTAAAAAAACCTTATGTAAAAGCTTCTGTGTAAAAAAGCCCCCTGTGTGTACAAGCTTCGCTGCGTAAAAGCTGCTCTGTGTAAAAAATCTGTGCGCCGTAAAGTTGTCTGTTTGTAAAACCTCCTGTGTGTGTGTGAAAGCGTCTGTGTGTACAAGATTCTGTGTGCAAAAGCTCCTCTGTGCAAAGACTTCTCTGTGTAAACGCGTCTGTGCGTAAAGGCTTCTCTGTGTAAAGGCTTCTCTGTGTAAATGCGTCTGTGCGTAAAAGCTCCTCTGTGTAAGACTTCTCGGTGTACAAAGCTTCAGTGTGTGAAAGTTTCTGTGTGTAAAAGCTTTCCTGTGTAAAAGTTTTCTTGTGCAAAAGCTCCTGTGTGAAAAACTTCTCTGTGTAAAGGCTTTTTTGTGTAAAAGCTTCTGTGTGTACAAGCTGCTCTGTGTTAAAGTTTCTGTGCGCCGAAAGAATGTCTATCTGTAACACCTTCTGTGTGTAAATCTCGTTTGTGTAAGGACTTCTCTCGTAAAAGCTCCTCTGTGTCAAGACTTCTTTGTACAAAAGGCTTCTCTCTGTAAAAGCCTTTGTGTGTACAGGCTTCTCTGTCTCAAGACTTCTCTGTGTAAAGACTTCTGTGTGTAAAAGCTACTCTGTGCAAAAAAGCTTCTGTGCGTAAAGGCTTCTGTGTCAAGACTCCTCTGCGTCTGTGTAAACGCGTCCGTGTGTCAAAGTTTCTGTGTAAAGGCTTTTTTTGTGTAAAAGCTTCTCTGTGCATGTCCCATTTTTCAGCCTTTGCAAACCGTTTGACCGGTCTTGGGACCATTTGACCAGTCTTGGGTCCACAATTTTTTCAGGCCAATCGCAATGATGGCATTTGTCCTGAAAAAACCCGTGCCAACAGTTCTGCCGCAAACTATTTTCAAGGTTTCCTATCCGTCCAGCATGCTGTCTCGCTCCCATCCAGCGCACTTTCCCCAAGCTATTTTCCACGGTTTTGTCCCGTCCAGCATGCTGTCCCGCTCCCTCCCCGCGCAGTTTCCCGAAGCTATTTCCACGGCTTTGTCCCGTCCAGCATCCGGTCTCGCTCCCTCCCAGCGAAGTTTCCCCAAGCTATTTCCCCAAGCTATTTCCACGGCTTCATCCCGTCGAGCATCCGGTCTCGCTCCCCCAGCGAAGTTTCCCCAAGCTATTTCCCCAAGCTATTTCCACGGCTTCATCCCGTCGAGCATCCGGTCTCGCTCCCTCCCAGCGAAGTTTCCCCAAGCTATTTCCACGGCTTCATCCCGTCCAGCATCCGGTCTCGCTCCTTCCCAGCGAAGTTTCCCCAAGCTATTTCCACGGCTTCATCCCGTCCAGCATCCGGTCTCGCTCCTTCGCAGCGAAGTTTCCCCAAGCTATTTCCACGGCTTCATCCCGTCCAGCATCCGGTCTCGCTCCTTCCCAGCGCAGTTTCCCCAAGCTATTTCCACGGCTTCATCCCGTCCAGCATCCGGTCTCGCTCCCTCCCAGCGAAGTTTTCCCCAAGCTATTTCCACGGCTTCATCCCGTCCAGCATCCGGTCTCGCTCCCTCCCAGCGAAGTTTCCCCAAGCTATTTCCACGGCTTCATCCCGTCCAGCATCCGGTCTCGCTCCCTCCCAGCGAAGTTTCCCCAAGCTATTTCCACGGCTTCATCCCGTCCAGCATCCTGTCTCGCTCCTTCCCAGCGCAGTTTCCTCAAGCTATTTCCACGGCTTCATCATCCCGTCCAGCATCCGGTCTCGCTCCCTCCCAGAGAAGTTTCCCCAAGCTATTTCCACGGCTTCATCCCGTCGAGCATCCGGTCTCGCTCCCTCCCAGCGAAGTTTCCTTAAGCGATTTCC